GAACTCATGAACTTGCGCTTGCCAGGCAGGCGCTGTGCCGATGAGCTATATCCCCAGCCCTGAGACCCTGTCTCAAAACCAAAAAAAGTAAAATAAAAAAGTTTCTTAAGAAAAAGAGGGCGCTGGGATTCAGCTCAGGGGCACAGCGCCTGCTTGGCAAGCACAAGATAGTGAGTTCGATTCCTGGTACCCGGGGGGGAGAGGGAGGGGAAAGAACCTTAAGGGGGAACGACATTTTCTGGAATGATACACAAAATGTTAGCTATGGCAGGATCTAAGGAAGATGAGGTCCAGAGTTGAAATGCCTTATACAAGGACCAAAACATATATTCTTTACTTGGACTTAGTTTCTTTAAAGACGCTGACAATGTCTGCATTTTAGAGCACCTCTAGAGCCAAACGCCTAATTTTTCACTGTTGTTCTGCAGAATATAACCCGTGCGCTTACAGCGTGTACGACTTTGTGCTAGGGCGTTTGGCTTCTTTAATTTTCAACCCGTGCTGCTAAAGACTAGGGATTCTGTTTCCTACATTTCACAAAAGAACAAAATATCTCTGTGAGAACACCTCGTTCCGTTTCTTTCTGCCTCGTCTTCTCACATTTTCCCCTATTAACTCCTACCACGCAGTCGGCCCTTATGCTAGCAGGTTCGCTCTCCAGCCTTCTACCGCCCACCCCACCTGCAAGAACTGCCCTCTTTTCTTTTCCGCTTCCGGACGGCTTTTGTCCCTCTCGGCTTCCGGATCACTGCCAGGAAGTCCTGCGGAAACTCTGCGCACGCGCTCTAATAGCCCACTTGGCTTCCTGTTTAGTTGGCTGGCTCTTTCCAATTTCCGACCCGAGTCCACGGTAGCTTGGCAAATCTCGCGGTGTTTGTTGAGGGCGGCGGGCGCGAGCCAGTGCTCGTTTCTGGCGGGCCCTTTTAGCTCTTGTCGCCGGCATCTGTTGCCCAGAACCTGCGGGCTGAGCAACATGACGTCCGCCTTGGAGAACTACATTAACCGTATCCTCTGGCCGGCTGACCGAACCGACGCGGTGGTGTCTGTACGGAGGGGACCCGGCGGGAGGGCCTCGGTCTGCGTGCGCGGGGGTGCGGCGGCCCGGCGCCCTCGCTTTCTGCTCGAGACGCCAGCGGGAAGGAGCCCCGTGGCTGCGCATGCGCGGGGTCGGGGGCGGTGTGGCCGTGTGAACCTGCGTGCTGCGCTTGCTTTGTCGCAGGCTCTGCTCGCTGTTCGGAGGCCGCAGAACCGTGAAAAGCGGCCCGCAAGCCGCCCTCCGCCCCTCCCGCCGCAGGCCCCAGCCCGGCCGGTGAAGACCCGCGTTCCGCGGGTTGTGCCGTCTCGGGACAGTACCGCCCCCTAGCGGCCGTGCGCGGGGCTGCCGCACAGGGAAGCGCCGAGGTCTCGCGCAGGCGCGTTGTCGGGCTCTTGGGATTGCAGAAGCCCGGTCCTGGAAGACAGTAGTCTTCGTGAAATCGTACAGCGTTGCTTAAGTTAGACTCACTCAGTTTTAATTTCCAACATAAGGAAATAAGCCCAAGGAAGGGGGAATGTCTTGCCCAGGAGCACAGATCGGCAACATCCTCAGTGAGAAAAGGGCCCACACATCCCAGCTGCTTTGAGACGGGGTACGTTAGCGCATGGAGCGGGAGGTTTCCTCCTTTGGTTATGCAGTTATCACAAAAGCAGAATTTAGAGAAGTTAGACACTTAAATTCTTATGTAGTGAACATAATGAGTGCATTAAATAGGTGGACCCTAAATGTCGTCTTTTTTTTCCTAGTAATTCAAACCACTCTTAGCAGAATCTTAAGTTTTCAGTTTGTACTCCCTAAGAAATGCCTTCCTTGATTCAGTGACCAGGAACCGTTGCTGTTATTACTTCTGACGGGAGAATGATCGTGGTAAGTGGCTTTGTCATTCTTCGCTTTCTTGTAGACTTCCTGGCTGTAAAGTTTTGGATGCACCTTCTGAGGTACAGTCCAGTCAGTGCACTCGTGCTGCAGTTTCTTTGGTTCTGCTCTTTACCTTTATCGCATTGCTGCCAATCCATATTTTCTTCACTAACAAAGACTGGGTGTACGCTATGTGCAAAGCTTTTTGGAGATACCCTAATATATTTATTTATTCTATTTTTCGGTTTGTTTGTTTTTTTTCCATTCAGTGCCCTGACATTTGCTATATAATACTTTTTTAAGTTTTGTTATGTTTTTTAGAAACTTGTGAGTTACATGCTACATGGGTGTTCAGTCATTCATGTAACAGTAGTAGGGATCAAGTTTGGAAAATGTGATGTCATTGTGTGAAAATCTTAAGAGTATACTTACATGAACTGGGCAGCTGTGATATCACTAGGTGATTTAATCTCATAGGAGCACCATTGTACTTGCGGACCATCCTTGAATCAAATGTTGATATGTGGCACATGACTGTAATTTAACCCTTATTTTCTCCTTCTGTAGTTTGGCTTTTATTTTCTTTTCTAATCGTTGTAGTTATTATTAGTGAGTCATCCCTGTTACGTGCAATTATTGAGTGTGTGTTCTGGGTCAGGCACTTTGTGTGTGTCATATTTGGTCTGCAGTACAACTTTGTAAGAACTGCTCTGTGTTGCAGGTTAGGACCCAAACTCAGAGAAAGTGAGTGCCTTGGCCAGAGTCACAGCATAATTTGCAAAGCTAAATGGGGATTTTAATTAGGTTTGATTTCAAAAACAGAGTTGTAACCTTCTTTCTTCATTTTTTTTACGCTTTTCATATTGTATTTTGTCAGATATGAGCAGCTTAAAATACTTTAATCTCAACACTTCAAGAATCCTGCATTTGTAAATAATGTTTTATTTTGTGAAAACCTTGTTTAAATTTCTTTTGTTAACAGGGGAGATATGAATTTTATAGAAGGAAAGTTATATATGAGTACTTAAATTTCAGTAGTCCTGTATTTGACACACAGTTATTTATTAGGATAGGTATGTTTAAAATGAAACAGGCTGTTGATGGGTGCTTATCATAACAGCTGTTTGCTAAGTAATATAGTAAGTGTTCATCTTGACTCTCTTCCCAATTTTAGGTTATGATTTTCTCTTTATTTTATACTGATTTTATATATTTCTTTTTCAGAACATAAAACAGTTTGATAGTAAGTTTGAGGGCTTAACCAGTAAAAGGTGATATAAATTAGTTTCTTCAGAATTTTATTGCATCTGAGTTACTGTGTTTTGCTAGATCTGTATCTTTCTTTATTTAAAAACTAACCATCTTTCATAAAGTTTTACCTTACTATGTCCTTCACGTTTGGGTACTAATTATTGCAGTCATATTTGTATCTACTGGGTTATTGGGAAAATTTCATAATAAATACGGGTGAGACACAAAATACTGGCAGTTAGTAAGCACTTACTAAGTGTTAGCTGCTTGAAGTTTGTATATATTTAATGGGACAGATTTGAATGTCTGACATACTTAGATGTTTACAGTAGCATGATGTATTTGTTTAGTGTCTGACTCTGGAACTAATAGCTAATAGCCTTTTTGTTTTTGGAATCCTGGATCTGATATTCAGTAGAGCATGAATAAAAGACATTCAAGGGTCTCCATTTTTCTTCTTTGAAATGGGTATAATTATAACTTGACCTTAAAGGGTAGAGATTAGATGTGTACAGTGTGTTTATCACAGTACCTTATACACAGTACTAGTATATAGCATGCAGTGATATTTTTACATTGCTATAGCTGGTATGTGTACATATGGCTCTCCCTTATTTCAATACCATTTTCCCTTATATTCCCCTTGTTTAGTTTGTATTCTCAGAATGTTTGCTACTGCACTGTAAGAGCTTTTTACTACTTAGTTGGAAATGCTCTAGTGCAGGGGTGTCCTTTGTAACTTTCAGTAATTGCACAGTAGTTGGATGTGTGATGCAGATTTTTTCATGTCTTAAACAAGCAAGAAGTAAGTTCTGTGCTCTAGAATGCTGTTGTTTATTTCATAGTTGACTTGTAGTTCAGATAGGTATCTGCCCAACTACTAAAATGGTTCTAAGGTTGTATTTGCACGTTCGTGTTAATCAGTATATTTCTTCTTTTTTTCTGGGATATTTTCTTTTCAGGGTACACTTAAAGGTTTTGACCAGACCATCAATTTGATTTTGGATGAGAGCCATGAACGAGTATTCAGCTCTTCACAGGGAGTTGAACAAGTGGTACTAGGATTATACATCGTAAGAGGTGACAACGTGTAAGTAAAATACGTCTTTGAAGTTCAGTTAAAATTACACTACAGGTGTACTTCCCTGCTTTATAAAGGAAGAGATTTTCCCAAAAATATCATACTATATCATTCATATATATTAAAGAGAAATATGCGTTCATGTATTTTGTAAGTGTGGCTTTTTTTATATTGGCTTATATTTGCTTGAAGTAAGGCAAAACTATAGATTTTATATTAAGATGCTTCAGGAGCAAACAAAATGATCGCTTTTCAAATTAAACTTTTACCTGCTGAGATTTGTCTGCCTTTCTAAAGTTAAGTGGCTAGAGTCCAAGAGGCTCGCCATACACTAAATAGTTTATTTCTGAGGCTTCTGAAAATGTTCTGACTAGTCTGCATTTCATACAAGATCAGGTTGTTCAGGGTGGTATGGCTATAGACCACTAGTCTAGATTTCACAGGAACATAAGTACACTCCTAGGTTCCAAAGCTAGAGTTTGAAAAATCTTTTGAAATCTCTTTGTTTAAGCAGTTTTAAATAAATATGCTTATTCATAATTCATGAATTTTTTTTAGTGTAATTTTTTTCTTTTTTAGTGGAATTGACAGGCTTACAATAGCCCCATGTTTATCCTGTGACATTAGTTACCTTGGGACACCCTGATAATTTAGTTTGAAAATATTTTAGAGGTAGCAATTTAAGGAAGGCAGGTAACCATGTAGAGCAGAAATGTTTCTGATGGTGGGAATGTTGTATATTGAAATTTTTCAACACTACCTGTATGTGGCTATTGAGTATTCAAAAGGTGGCCGGTATGCCTAATTTATGAATATTAATCAGCTTAATTATTAATAGTTATATGTGGCTAGTACTATTGTGGTAACTGACTAGACTATTGAAATCATTTTCTAGTGATAGAATTAAAATATGAGTGGAAAGCAACAAAAGATACAGTAGCAATTTTGGTTATTATTTGATCTTTAATCAAAATCAGGAGTTTATAAAATATTCTATAGAGTAACTTGTAGGTAAAGTTAGAAGGTGAGCTGTAAAGACTGAGAAGACAGATAGGGGAGAAGTCCCCTGCTCAGAACAACACTGATCTTTTATATTGGAATTGTAACAGTTGATTTTAAGGTTTATCCTACCTTAATTAAAAAAAATTTTTTTTAAACCTTAATCCTATACCCAGTAGTGTGATGCAGCCAGGTTGTACTGGCTCCATGAAGGCAGATTGTTATATTTTCTGGAATTTTGGAAGCTAATTGGTAGTTATCTTGTTAATACCTTGAAATTGTCTGAGGTGGGAGTATTTGCATGATGGATATTATATGAGTAAATGCTGCAAATAAGTCTTTTTTTCTGTGGAGAACTGGTTTTTAAACATTTATCAGCACTCCTTTAACATTGGTTTCTGTAATAATGTTACCTACAAATTATTTCTCCTTGAGTTTTTAAAAAATTTATATTAATACATGTTAGAAGTACATAATGATTACATTCATCATGGGCAGTGGTACATGTAACATAATACATCTTAATTCTGTTTATGTCCCCTTCAATTCCCTTTTCTTCCTTTTCTCCCTCCATTTTTTTGGTCCCTTTCCCATGTACAAAAGATTTGTGACTTACATGTATAATTCACTAGCTGATGAAAATTTTGTTTACTTTCTACCTTAAGTACTTTTTACTATGCCTTCTCATTTTTACATGGTTTGGAAGAATGGAACTAAGTGCTTTGAATGGATTTATAAGATTTTAGAAATACAGATAAATTTATTTCAGAAATGTGTTTAACTCTTGACTCTTCATAATTAATTACAGTGCAGTCATTGGAGAAATTGATGAGGAGACAGATTCTGCACTTGACCTGGGGAATATTCGAGCAGAACCTCTAAACTCTGTAGCACACTGAGGAAAGACTGCAAGCACTAGACATCTGTAAATCTTGTACAGAGACTGTTCCGAGGATGGTGTTCAGAATTTTTATGAAATTGTTAATTGTGGATTTTGACTTCATTTTGACTCATTGTATTATGTAAATCAAAATATTTCTATGTTTTTATTGAAAAAACTTTGTCTAAATTATAAGTGTGGTAGCTTCATTTTATTTTTCTACTGAATGATATGAAAATCTAATGCTTTTAAAAACTTAGAAAATCAGTACTTTCTGATATTTTTATATTTATGGAAAAGTACTTGCAATTTTGAGTTATGAATCATGCGTACAAGTAAGTAGTACAAGGTGTATATATTTCTTTCCAAAGTTTTAAAGAAAGTCACTAGAAGGTAAATTTTCTGATAAAACAATCACTGGAATTTATACCACTGTGCTAGTGGTATTAGTTATACCAGTACTTTTAAAAGTTGCTCCCTAGCACTTAGAGATATGGGCAAAAATGTGTGTAGTTGAGTAAAAAATACCAACAAAGTTTTAATAAATTTAATTAAAAACTAGGACTTGAATATTAAAGATGATCGAGGGAGATAGGATTGGTAGAGAAGATAGTAAAACCCATGGATGATCGATGTTAGATATGAAAGTAATGTGAACATGTTAATACTGAATTTTAACAGTATATTATCTGAGAAGTTGACTCCATATAATCTTAAAAGCCATTGTAATTTTTAACCTTTAAGAATTGGGGAATTTCTCATATCAAAGAGTTTGTTTTTCTATGTGGGTAAATAATACTTAGGTTTATATTAGAGCAGTGCTTGCTGTTGGAAATAGCTTTCCATGATTGTTTCTGTAAGTTGGATTGCAAAGATAAACATGGTCTTTTAAAGAATTCATAGAAACAAGGTTATAAGTAGTATTTAGATAATCCAGGTTAGTCCACAAAAATTGATGAAGAAAATTGATAAGTAGTTGCATCCTTGTAATTCCAGGAAAATTTAAATCATTTTTTAATGTGAAAGTATTTTTTTTTTTTTTTTTTTGTGGTTTTTCTCCAGTACCGGGAACCGAACTCACGACCTTGCGCTTGCCAGGCAGGCGCTTTTGCCGCTGAGCTAAATCCCCAGCCCCTAATATAAAGTATTTAAGATAGAGGTTGGCAAACTTTTTCAGTAAAGGTCCAGTAGTAATTACTTGTAGGCCACGTGGTCTCTGACAGATACTCAACTGTGCTGCTGTAACAAAGCAGGGGTAGATGGACATGTGAGTAGGCACAGGCTGTGCGTGAAGTCACTGCTGCTTCCCAAGAAGACTTCATTTGCAAAAACAGGCAGCAGGCTGCATTTGCCCTGAAGGCCGTAGTCTGCTGACTCTTGGCTTAAACTGCTAGTTCAGTAAGAAGAGAAGTTGGCCAGGTTATATAAATTCTGCAGAGAGCTTGTAGAGTGGATCCTTTCAGAGTTTAGAGATGAGTTTCAGATATTTTTTAATATTTAAAACTTTAAGACATGATAATTTTGGCTAATAAAACAAACCGTGTAAGGAGAGAAATGTTTTGGTTTTTTCGTAGGTCATAACCCATGACCACCTAAAGATAACTTGGTTGGTGCTCAGTGCGGTCTTGCAGGGTTAGATTAGCGAGTCTGCATTGGCTATAAATATTTGATTTTGTAGTATAATGTTTTATAATTTAGTAGTAAAATGTAAATGCAAAGTGGGAAAGTAAATGAGCTTAGAGACTTACAACTTTAAAAAAATAGTTTTTGGAATTTTGTCATGGACATTTATAAATCATTAATACATATTAGACACTGTGTGTGAAGATCTGTAATACCAAGGAACAGAATTAATAAGTTCTTACCCTGTGAAGGTTGCTTTTATTACCTCAGCCACGTCATCTTCACTCAAGGGTCCAAAGGTCATGAGTTAATCACTGGATTAGTTTAGTTTTCTAGGATATAATTTATGGGACCTGCATTCATTCAAAGCAACTACCATGATCTTAAGTGGATGTAATTCATATGAATCATTTTTCTCCATCATTTTTTTCTGCTGTAAGATCACTAAACCTATATAGGTTGCATAACTCTTAAGAATGAAAGCAAAATTGAACGTCACTAGCGAGTTTTTTACCATTAGTTAACAGTTGCCATCTGCTGCCTACTGGTAGCATTTGGAGGGTGAAGGACTTGGGAACTGTTCTTCATCTAGTGTTTGTGTTGTCCTTTTTGTACTTTCTTGGTTCCTTTTCCATCTTTTTTATACATTTAAAAATTACTTTATAGAGTATTACTTGCCAGAAGTAGC